AAGTGAAAGTAACATTTAAAATTATAAAAAAATATTCATAACTAATTTTTTAAAAAAAAAATTAAATTTCAAAGATTAAGAACGGAATGTGTCATTATTTAAAAGAGATTATAAGTAGAGTTTTTACTGATCCTCTTAAGACTTTAACTTAATGTTGAAAGAATTAATTTTTAAAGAATCGATGTTACTCGATTTGCCATGGTTGATCACGAAGAACAGTAGAGATTTGCCACCTTAGAAAAGTGCAGGGTGGGGCATCAATTATTTGGTGTCATTAGCCCCACGTATGGGTCATGGTCTCATGGAAGGCACTAGAAAGTGACTAAACAAACGAAACAACTATAATAATGCAATTCAAAAGATGTTTCTCCACACTTCATTTCTCAGCAATTTTTTTAAAAAAAATTAAAAGTTATTATTAAAGTAAAATTATAAAAAACAAAAACAAAAATTAAAAGCTGTTTAATGATCATATAAATCTTTTAACTTAAAAGCTGTTTATTTTTAAAAAAAAGCTGATATAACTTAAAAAAAAGTTCTTTCTAAGTATTTTTGACTTTTGGTTTTTTTTTTTCATTATAATTTTGTTTTTATTACTACAAATTTTTTATAAAAATTTATTTGCTCTAATTTCTGCTTGTAAGGAGGAGATAATCTTACCCCAATCAGACACTCAATTTGTTAGGTTGAAATATTTTATTAATACAAACGGCTTATAATTGAATCCGTTACCTTTTAATTAGTTCAAATCTAAAGTGGATCGAGACTGAATCAACGGTCCTGAAGTTTAGGTTCAACTTTAGAACTTTAGTAAAAGGCGAAAGAATAGTTCGCTCTTAAACTATTGAACTACTTACTCAGTTATAATATTTTTTATTTTTTTTTCCTTAATTGGCTCTTTGCTACGTATGAAAATGTGAAAAAATGAACAATTGTAAACACGTATTTGCAATATAAAAGATTGTGTAAATATCAATTTTGGTCCTCAGCAAATTTTACGACGCCCGTTTTAGTCTTTAGTAAATAAAAAGGTCTATTATGGTCCTTAAAAAATTCAAAATGGACCAATTTAGTTGAAATATTGGTCCTTCATAAATTCAAAAAAGATCTATATTAGTCCCTAAAAGGACTAAAATGGTTCCATTTTGAATTTTTTAGAGACCACGATAGACCTTTTTATTTGCTAGGGACTAAAATGACTGTCGTGAAATTTGCTGAGGACCAAAAAAGATATTTACTCTAAAAGATTAGAACAATGCTCCCTGGCTCAACAAATATTCTATTCAACTTTTACAAAATTTAAAGGGAATAGTAACCAGTTGCTCTTTTGAAAATGAAAGTTATATGATAAAATAAGTGAGTTAAGAACGGTCCATAGTAATTCATATTTCATAGCAGGTTCACTAAAGTAAAAAAAAAAATCGTATAATTAAGCATTATCCAAAAGTTTAATAGTGAAATACTGACCCATGAAGTTAACAGTAGTTATTTTAAGAAAATTCTACTAGCACAAAAAACAAAGTAAGGAATTGTTCTGGTATTCCTTCTTTTAAAAAAGAAATAGTGTTTTATTTTTTAAATTATAAATTATATATCAAAAGGTACATATTAAATAAAAATCATAACCTGAGTAATTAAAATTACAGAACTTATGAAAATTTTACATTGAGTAACAAAAGTTATGAATTGGGTATAAACAATTACAAATTAAATAATAAAAGTAACATACTCATGAAAGTTATAGAATTCTAATACTTAGTTTATAATTTTTTTTTAAATTATTAAATACATCTTTTTTGAAGATAGTTACCAAAGTCAATTCCAGTAAAATAATTAACTCCATGTTGCCAACTAGCATTGTGCCATTAATTATAACAAGTGCGATTGCAAGTAAAAAGAATGTTAATTACACATGTTTGACACTTTTTTTAATATTTTTTATTAAGTGGTCCTATTGAATAACTTGACTTCCCTCTTTATTGATGAAGATAGTATGGCATTTTATTCAATAATTGAAAAAATATTTTTAAAATGTCAAATAATATACTGTTATGATTTCTATTGTACATAAAATGTAACTAGCATAATGCCATTGATTATTTTATAATCGATTCCTTTACAGCAATTCTTTAATGTAAGTTTCGATGAAAAATATTTAGTCAATAGCTGTTTGATCTACAAGTTATAAATTAGTCATATGAATAAAAATAAAATAAAGTATATATTAACTCGGAGTGTGAATGGAATAAAATATGTTATACTACAAGAAAAAAATGCATGAACTAAGACAAAGTTATAAATATTTATGAGATTAATATTTCTCCTGTAATATGATATATACTTAATTCATTCAATCCCAAAACGATATCATTTGTTAGAAATAAGTTTATCTCATTTTGCTGGAGAAGTATTTTTTTCACTATAAACTTTTGAAGATCTATGCATTATGAGTATTCTATTTTGAAACTATATTCTTCTTGTATAGGAAACACTATATATTGTAAATCACACACAATTTAGCAAAGTTGTTAGACTCTCTAAATACATTTGTCAACCGAAAATAATTAATTCAATCAAAATGTTTAAATTATAAAGTGAAAGTTATATTAATAATTTTATATTATATTTTTGGGAAATTTAAAAAATCTTTATGATTTTGCTCTTTTAATATGTAAAACTACCATTTCAATTCAAAAGTAAAGAACACAATAATAATTTTATATTATAGTTCCAATAGTCACCTTAATTAATGAATTCCATGCTAACAACTTCGAAAACCTAACACTAATTGAGATCCTGACACTTCCATATGAAGTTTCTATCACAAATCTTAACTTTAAACTGTCTAGACCATAGTCTGAATTTAAATCTTCAAATATTTACAGACCAAAGCTTGGAATGTTCTAAAGGACTTTTTCCTTGTAGGGTTGCACTTATTAAGTTTGGAAATGGATCCTCTAATGTGAAAAAAAATATGACATAGTCATGTGAGAAGATCACAACCATACAAAAGTAAATCAACGGTTATGATTTTATAACTACCTATTTTAATATATTTTCTCTCTCCTCCTTTATTACCATTGATCTACCTTTGTATGGTTATGATTTCTCACATGATATGGTCATGTGATTTTTCACATTAGAGGATCCAGATCCTATTAGTTTTGCATTTACATCCTGAGAGCGAAATCTTCTCCCATATAAACTAACTTTTGAGCCAAACCTATTATGATTGGATATAATCTTTTTTTTTTCCATTAGCATTGAAAATATTTATTTATTTACTATAAGCCATGTAATCGATGATTCCAATTAAATAAGAAGGTACCAAAAAATTAACAATACGCTTCTTATAACCAAATCAATTCATAAAATAAATTTCTTTGATTATATTTACTTGATTAATTTAGTTTGGTCTTCTGAAATAAGATAACATGACATTAGAAGAATAAAATAAGATCCTCAAAATAAGGCACAATTAACAATTATTGAGAATGACGTAGTCATATTTGAAAATTAAATAAATTGCTCATAAACTTTCTCAACCTTAATCCTTAAAATGAGATATTATATACCATATTATAATATAATTTTTCTTATTAATATAATTAGTTAAGTATATATATCACAATCTTTCCTGTTAAATATCATATTATAATTTAGTGTTTCCTCTAGTACTAACTTTATTTTTTTAGTACATATTTAATTGTTCACATAATTTAAAGTCTGGCGTAATGCTTACTATCTCTATTTAAATCCATTGTAATAAGTTGTTTGCAACCACAACAAAAAAATATGATGTCTCATTACTTATCATCATTACTCTTAGCAAGGTAGATGGAGATAGTGAGAGTTAAGACAAACATTCAATGACTTAAAGAAATTTTATATTTGATAATGATAATTATCCTGTGTTTACAAACAACATGATGAAGGCTTACATATTGATGGTATGACATAAATTCATAATAGACAAGATGATTATTCATACTAAGAATGCCTAGTAAACTAAAGACTACATGGGGAAAAAAATAAAATTGCAATGACCTTCAGACCAACAATTCTTTTACATTTTGACAAAGTGAATTTTTTTTTTTTTTTTATGGAGAGAAGCACGTTGCGGAAGAGTAAGGGAAAAAGGTACAAGTAAAAAGTTTGGTTTTACCCTCCACTTTTCTCCTTTAACCTTGCACAATGGGGTCATTTCTCTAAGAAAAGTTACTTCAACAAAATGCGAGAAATTATTAGTCTAAAGATCCCTGAATCTTTTGCAGTCTTTAATTTCAAAAACGGTGATTACTATTTATACTTTCTATCATATCATCAACTTATAAGCCTTGGTCATTATGCTCATCATCATTTCTGTAAGGGGCGTTTGGTTCAGAATTTTTTTTTGGAATAGTAGGGAAATGAGATAGATAGAGAAATGATTGAAAAGATAGATAAAGTGAGATAGGTAGAAAAATATAAAAAAAAAATTGTTTGGTGGAGAAAAACTTTACTAAAAAAATTAGGTAACTTTATGAAATCAACAGTGCATTAAAAATCAGATAACCGGTTTTCTGAAAAATCCCACCTTCAAATTGAGTTTCTAAACAATGTGGATATCTATGTTTCTCATAAATCCAGCCAAATTTGATAGATGGGTTTTTGGTGAAAAATGTTGAAACAAACATGATGTTTCTAAAAGCCATACTTGAGAAAGATAAATATCCGCTGAAAAGCTCCCAACCAAACACCACCTAAGAGACAAATATAAGTCAATCAAATGGTAATATAAATCTTAATTTTGTGGAAACTCCTAATGTAAGGGTAATATTTTTCAAGCTGCTAAGAGCAATGACAGATAATAACGATTATGAAAAGTTATCAGCTAAAAACTTATGCAATCATTTAGAAAAATGCTTATAAAATATTCATTTTCGAGACTCAATATAAATGGCTTGCATTTCTAATAAGCTTATATCTCAATTAACGATAACCAAACTCTAAATTTGAGCGCGGTAATAATGTATGGCCTATACCCCATCTCTTACCTTCTTACATCCAATGTACACAACAAAAAAGTGCTAATGATTTGAATTTTACATTATGATTTGCTTGCATTGTTCAACATGCCCAGCGAGAGAATTCAGATCTCAAGCAGAATCAAATACTTCAACTTCTCTCGAGTTGTTCGACTTTAATCCATAGCATTCATCATGCTCATTGAAATTGCATATGTAGAAGCAAAATGAAGCAGAAGTTGTAGACGAGACATGACTCAATATATATTAAAGGCGCGTCTTATGGAGTTGACTCGTATTGCCTATAATCCAAAACAAAAATTAAGCCTTTTGTTTCTAAATTCAAGGTCTCGCTCAACTTCCTTGAGCTAGATGGAAGCTGTTGAAATATTATTTTATCAAGTTACTTCCAACAGAGAAATACTTGATGAAAATGTTTACACTGAGACAAATCAATGCAACGCAGTCACAGCAGGTAGAAAATAAACAATCGAAAAGGAAAGCTCAACTACAGTACTTAGCCTGTAAGAGCTGAGTTGAGAGCACTATGGACATCAACCCCAATCTGAGCTTCGGCTTTCTCCAAATCCGTTGTGGCTGAGCTAAGCTTCTGAGTGAACTCTTGAAGACCCTTCTGGACTAAGTTTGAATCAATTTGATCAATTGGTACAGCCTCAACAGCTATTATATCAGCAACAGAGTTTCCATGGATGAAGGCGAATCCGCTGCTGACAAAATACTTGGTCACATCATTCCCCTCATGGACAGATAGAACCCCAGGTTTCAACTCTGCAATTGTTGCTACATGTCCTGGGAGAACACCCATCTGCCCAGTTGTTGCTGGTACTATGACCATGTCAACCTGTTACATATGAATTCTACTGCATATTATTATTAAGCATAAATTATGTCATTTTCCAAGGAAAAAGAATTTAAGGATTTTTCTACAATTACTAACATTCAAAGCACCAAAAACAATTGAACCAGTGTGGGTAGGGAGGTTGCAGCACAACAAAATAAATCAGGTAACCAAATGTGTCAATCTAGATAGCTACATTGCAACAAATTTGACAGGTTTCCTACTTCTAATAACCATCAACATTCTTTCCCGGTGTGGTGGCACTCTAATATATTTCAAAACTTGTAAAAATATTCAGACCAATAAATATGTAAAGAACTATTTCAAACCAAACGCTTAAATGGGTGAGGCTACATTAATGGTTTTATATATCTCTAACAAGTCCCCTAACATGAGAGCCTATTGGACTTGAATGGTGGACAATGCACAGGCCCACCTACCTGCGCTAAGAAACTCAACAAGACTTAATTAATTAAATAAAGGACGATAAGGATCGAACCCGTGACACCGAGGCTCTGATACCATGTAAATAACCAATTCAACCCAAAACTTTAAGGTGTTGGGTGAGGGCATTTTTAATGGTTTATATTATTCTCTAACACACACCCTCACGCAAGAGCCCTTTGGACTTGTAGCATGGATATTGCACATACCTTGTGCTTATTTAATTCCACTAAAACGTGGGGGGTGGTGAGGATCGAACTAGTGATCTTGAGGTCATTGAAGCTCTAATACCATGTAAAGAACCACTTCAACCCAAAACCTTAAGGCATTAGGTGCATGGGTCCTTCCACTTATATGGTGCTCACTTGGTCAATCTCACTGTTGGCTCTGATACCATGTTAAAATATCAGGATTCGAGAGGATTGTGAGTAATCATGTGTTTAAAGTTTAAACTACACAACGAAGGTTCTATTATATAATAGAAAGTAAAAGAATTACAATGAGATATGCATGACATGGGACTTCTAAACCACTATTCTAACACTATTCCTAACAAAATATAAGACTGGTTTAACACTAAAAGAATTCAAATAAACACAAGTCAAAGAGAAAATGTGTGCTTGGTAGGGTTAGGTACAGTTCTTTTATTATTATTATTTTTTGCTGATAGTTACAGTTCTGTTATCCTGTCATGTCTTAGTTCTGCTTTAAAATCTGCTCTGGTATTCCTCCCCATATTTTCTTGTTGAGGCTGTGCATAAAGTTTCTCTCAACCAAATGCAGCAGAGCTTTCTGCCCCCCAAAATTAATCTGCAACTTTATGGTGACAATTACACGGATGATAAATAGGTACTAGCTGTTAGGATTCTTGGGTGGAAAGGACAAGTTAATAGGAAATTGCAGAGAAACACAGATCAAAGGATGTGAAAGAGAAGAATAGCTTGTAATTTAGAATGAATGGAACAAGGTGGTAATCTCCTTCACACGGTTTCCGGCATCAACTGAGTCTCCTGGACTCAGTTTACAAGATGAATATCTGCCTTTTATTTAACAACCTTTCCCGCTCAAACCCAACTCCCTTTTTACTGCCTTAACTAATCTAACTTCCCTCAGTTCTTTCCCTTGTTTCTTCTGGTATACACTTGTCCCTTGATATGGATGTCTAACACTAGCACATTACATTCACCCATGATTAGATACTCGGAAATTACATGCACTTGGTGGAGAGAAATTAGATACTGTAAAATTACATTTACCAATAATTCTGATTTCTCTTGGTTGATTTCCATCCAATTTTTTGTCCTGGGCTATCAATGCTGCTACAAGTACAATTTTGCAGCCACTTAAATCCAATCACGTAGTCAATTTTAACATCATCACCACAAACTACTACCACGATATTTCATACCCCAATACCAGCAATTAAATTCAACAGCAATGCTGGCTGTCTTAAGTCTTAAGAAGAACAGGAAAAGCATACAACACAAGCCTGACAAAAATGGTGGGCTTCCACTAATTAAATTAGATGAGTCATATTCAGTTTGACCTGACAACCCAAAATTCACTTGCAACTAACATGCTAAGTTGCATCAGTTTAATATCCACATCTCAAAACATCTAACCACCACTCCCCATTAATCCCGGACTTGCAAGGGTAGGGGCGAGGGACTCAAAAATAAAATAATTTTAGAGAAAGAATGGAGTGTTAATAGAATAAGAATGCTTGCATTGATCATATTTGCATGGATTCCAAAATGGACAAGGATTAAGCAAGACCCTCACGCAAATTTGCAGGATAACTGAAAGGACAAGCTTGAAATCTAGGGTGAAATGAAACAACATCAAACAATTCCTTGAACATCGGGAATTTCATAAATATTTTTATAATATCAGTCACTTCTCTTTTCAAAATTTACTATGAATAAGAGTAAATTGTCAATAAGCATGTTTCCGTAGTACTGTCATCATAAACATTGCTAAAGACATTTTTATTGCTAAAGTCAGGAGAAAAGAAAGATTAAAAGTTTTCTAAAATAATGCAGATAGTTTGGAAATCTATTATGACATAGTAGATTAAAATGCATCTTAAAGAATTTTATTTTTTATCACAGGTTGTAGGGTACAGTTCAATAGTTCAAAGGTTTAATAGGCATGTAACACAGAACACATTTATAAAGGAAAACTATAGCTAGAAATAGCACACTTGAACCAAGATGTCAGTTTTATATGAAAAATGTTTAATGCTGAAAAGAGTTTCAAGACTCGGTCCCTATAACTAGAAGAGACGTTGCTAAGACCAAAAAACAACAAATAATATATACTTACATTCATTTCCTTATATAAAAAAATTTAAAATTACCACTTGGTAATGTGTTCAAATTGAAATGTGAAAAATAACAAGGCTACCCATCTCAAATTTTGTATCTTTTTGTCTTTTCTGGAAAGTCTATCCACCTTAGCCAATATTAAGATCAATAAATTTTGTTTGGACAAATGAAGAGAAGGAAGAGAAAAATATAAGTCAGGAAGTTAGAAATCCTCCAAATTTCGTTTCGCTTGATTATACCAATGTTGTAGCCTTCGAGATCATACAGGTTGATGAGAAGACAGCAAGATCTCATGATCTAGATCAGTAACCAATTCCTTATTTGACAAGTAAGGATAATGTACATATGAAAAGCACCTTAAACCCTACGGCATTTCTTGATCCAGGGAAATCCTAAAATCTGGAAATAATGCTATTCCCACAGACCAAAGAAGAACAAGCCCTTATACATGAAATTCTAGATTATATTCTACTAATGGCTAGTAAGATGGTAACTGCTAGGTTTCAATAATAGCACAGGAAATCGGAACAATGAAGATTCTACAAGATTACAGAAGACAACATTTTTTTCACAAATAACCAATACCACTAATTATGCTTAAAGTAATCATATAAAAATAAAATTTTAATACCTTATTTTTCTCACGAGATAATTTTGGGAAAAAAAGAAGAAGCAATGGAAACACAAGAAAAGGGTCACAAATTGAATTTCAATCCACAACTAATCAAAATACAAGCACTAAATGTTACATAAGGACAACAATAACAAAATGCCAAGAAAATGTGTCCCAAGAAGAGACCAAAACCCAAACAAAAATGGAGAACATGACCATAAATTCAATCAACACCAAACATGAAGCAGCATTTCCTGTCCGGAAGACAATCATCTTCTAAGAAAAATTTAACAACAAAACAAGACAATGAAAGGGATCCTAAATTCACCTTTTGTTTCCATAAAATGGATTAATCCATACATCAAATGCTAGTACACTTTTTCCTTCAAAATTTACCACACACATAAACACATATATTAAAATTTGGTGAAACAATAGCATTTCACATGCTTATGTTAAACTGAACAATAAAGAGACTTGCAATAAAAAAATTTCATAACTAAAGTAAATCAATAAATAAACAGTTAACTTCCACCAATTGAACCTAATCCAGAGAATAAACCCATTTAAATCTAATCAACATTAATAATAATAATAATAAAATGATGAGAAAATGGAAAAGGGACCTCTTTGGCAGATAATTCGGAAGTGTAAGGAAGGACGAAGTTAACGGTGAGCTTCGTAGGGAGCGTGGAAGGGGTTGGGGGACGAGGCTTCATGAAAGCAAAGGGAGTCTTTGGTGGGTCTATGTTAGGGCTCACTTTCTTCCACGCCTCCACGAAGCTCGAATCTACGGTGGGTGCCGCCGGCAGATCCGTCGAGAATCGGCGGCGGGTGGCGCCGGAAAGAAGGGTTGCTGTTGCGCGGCGGAACATATCGACAATAAGGGTTGGGATCGCTCGGTCTCGCAAGGTCGGAGAGAGAAATGCAAAGAGATAGAGAGAGAGAGAGTGTGCGCGTCTGTTATGTTTGTGAAGAGAGAGAGTGTGTGTGAGAGAGAGAGAGTGTGCAACTATGCAGTAATAAGTTATTTGTTGGCGTTAATGGGAAAGAGTTTGGGTATATTGGTATTGTGGGCTTTGGGTCATAGTAAAGCCCAAAACCTCTATTGCCATTTCATCTACCCTATTGTTTGCATGCCCTCCAAAAAAAATGAAAAAACATGTACCATTTATAAGTAGGGTTTGATGTTGGTCATTTTAAATGACACAAGTTATCTCATTTTAAAAGAGAGATAAACACAAAGAATGAAAATCATAGGAGAGAAAGCGGTTGATTTTTTTTTTAAATTTAAAATTTAAATAAAAAAATTATTATGTATCTATCTCTCTATTAAAATGATATAACTTTATGTCATTTAAAGTGACAAATACTTTTCCCTTTTAAGTTTATGTATTAATGCTAGATAATTTTATCTCTTATATAGATAAAGTTTGTAGTGCTCATGTTTTCTTTTTCTTTGTCTTCTCTTCACTTGATCTCAAATGAGTTTTACACACTTTTATATATGTATAGAAAATAAGATTATCTCTTACAACATGAAAAATATTAATCCTTAAATTTAACTTTAAGGTCAAGACTCGTTGCCCCGATCAACATTTTATAGTATTAGTGACCAATATAGTTCCGATTGCCCATGACCCATTGTCTCAAGATGGGTTCCCACTTATAGATTTAATGAATTTTTGTTCTTCTAAAAACAGAAGCCAATCGTGAAGTATGCTTTTCTTATTTATAAATTGACTCACAGTGAATTATCACCCGACTTGATATAATATATTTAATAAAATGAAAAATATGAAGGTCTTAAAAAACATGCAACAAGTTTATTTTTACAAAACCTTCCCTACAAGTTTATATATACATAGATAGGCCAATATTGTATTATTTACTCATTAAAATAAAATAATTATTAAAATAACTTCAAGGAAAAATATTTATCTTTTTAAAAAATGGTCCTTTTCGTTTTAAGTAGTATTTTTTTATTTAAAATTTAAATTAAAAAACACTCGTTCTTTTCGCCCCATAATTTTCATTATGTATTTCTTTCTTTTTCTTAAAAGGACACAACTTTATGTCTCTTAAAATGACAAATAGTAATCCCTAACTTTAATTAATAAAATAATTTATTTTATTTTATTTTTCTAATTTTTGATAGGTATTAAAGGTCTTATAGGCTTAAATAGGTTAATAGACTTAGCCTCATAATTTATTTTTGACATGACAAATATTAAACGATACTCTATATGGGAACTTCCTTGATGAACAAGCACGTGTCATTGTTGGACATTATGTGATTTCACTAATTCCTTCCTCAGATTTTTCACTATATCATCAATGTTTATGTTATATTCATCTTCCATCTGCAATTTAGCTGCACCGTTTCAGAATTCACCAAATACAATACTAATACATTTTAGCATGAATATAAAGTTTTCATGTGAGCTTGTAACTATTCTTGGATAATAGACTTGAACATCATCCTATATAATTATTTTTTTAAAGGGTTAATCTACGAAGAGAAGAAAAAGAAAAAAAATAAATAGAATCACACTTTTATATATCTGCAAGATATAAAGTTATTATATTCTATTTGTAAGAGAGATACTAAACCTTTTTTTTAATGGATTAACATTTTTCTTCCAACATGAAATAAATTTATTTCTTACAACCTCAAAATAAGGTTAAACATTAATGCAGGTATTTTAGTAAAATTATGATATAAGATAAAAACAAAATTTTCAAAATACCTTGCAATTTTTTTTTTCTAAACCCCAAAACGATATCATTTTAAGGTTATAGTAGATAATTTTATCTCATGTGACAAGAAAAATACTTTTTTGGCCCTTTTATAATTGATAAATCTCATTACTATTTATTTTATCTATCAGCTTGCTCCTTGAACAATTCTAGACAAGTTCAAACTTAATTGCAGTAAAAGATAACTAAAAATTCATTTCACATAAGAGAATAAGAAATTGCAGTGTCCATGTCATTATATCCTTCAAGAAGCCTCTCATGTTTCGTGTAATATTCAGCCACATTGCGTTGCTTCCCTGAAATCAGATACTTAATCAAAAAATTCCTAAGAAAAAGACCACTTCGGAAACAAATGTATATTACAGCCACACATGTATTAAATAAAACATGTTGAATAACTATCTTAGGTAGTATGTTTGCACATCTAGCAGAAATAAATCGATTAAGAAGTTAGACTGAAGTACTGGCTTTTTGACCCTTTTGCCCCTCATTAATTAATTAATAACCAATTTGCCCCTGATCAAGAACTATCCACCAACCTGCCCCCTTTTAGTCGACTACCTTGCGGTTTTAGTCGAGCAAATGGTCAATCTTCAGAAAGTGGACTTCCGCAAATTTAGTCGACTAAAAAATCATCTTAATCGACTACATTTTTGGGATATTTAGTCGACTAAGTATCGATATTTAGTCGACTAAATATCGACGGATTTGTTTTTTAAAAACCCCCCATTCGGCAGAGGGGGAGTATGATGACCTAATCGACTAAGGAGGCGGCCCAAACCCCAAATCTGCAGGAGCAGCTGAAGAACGCCCCAAACCCTTCCTTTAGGCGTGTGGATTGCCCCCAAATTTGGTCCAAATCGTGAAATCTGAAGGATAGGTAAGGTTTCTTAACTTGCATTGTGTTTTAGGTTTAGGAATTTTTTGTATTTGTTTGTTGTCCGAATTTGTGAACTCTAATCAAAGCGTTTGTTGTAGGTTTTGTAACCCTAATCTACTAAGGTTTATTTTTTTGCATTGTGTGAATTTTTTTGTTTGAAAAGTTTGTATGGGGCAAAAGTTTGCTTTTGGTTTACAGCGCTTATGTTGCAAGTTTTCATTACCATCATGACATGTTTCATATAGTTAAATGCTGACATGTTTCATTGTAGGTACCCTAAACAAATGATGAGCCGCAGAAGACCAAGCGATGAGGGCAATGAGTCACTTGAGAGACGCACCAAGCATAGGCAAGAGCGGCCTTCTTCGTCAAGGCGACAAGACGAAGAGCCTGATACTGTTGACCTCCCGTATGGGTATCTGTTTGAGGACGACCCTGCCGTCCACGCTTCATTCGTACGTGACCATTTGAACCGGCCGTTATGTGCTCCAAAATCTTTGGATACAGCCTTTTTTGATAAGGAGGGATTTGAAATTGTGGGGGTGTTGGAGGCGGCATATCTGAGGGTGTTGGCCGAGACCCTATGTCCGTATTCAGAGCTTATGGTGCGGGCCTTCTACCATAACCTCAGCTACGTACAGGGCGAGCTGAGGTCGAGGGTCTGTGGAATAGAGATCATCATGACGGCACCTGCATGGTTGGAGATACTCGGCTATGATTTTGACTCTTCTCAGACTGTGGTGTATGACGCTGATAGTGGTGTAGTACTTCCAGGATATGTACGAGAGGATGCCGTGCAGGAGCAGAGAAGAGTCCGTGGGGAACACTTGCACTATACGGTGGGGTTGCTTTCTGTGGAGTCCCGTATACTACACTATGTCATCACCCACGTTCTGTTTTCGCGATCTTTTAATCATTCCAGGGTGTTGGAACATGACATTCCCATTATGTGGGCTATCCGACATGCCCAGATGGTGAACTGGAGGCACTATATCTGTTGGTTTATGTTTAAGGCCAAACATAAGGGTCATCTTCCATACTCCTGTCTGGTACAGAGGATATTGGTTCACTTTGGTGTTCCCATGGAGACTGAGCTGTTGAAGAAGACCACGGGCTATAATTGCAAGTTCGGAAAGCGTCTATTGGAGCAGTGCAAGATTACTAAGAACACGAGATCGGGTGTGTGGGAGTTTAGTGGTATGCCCCAGGTTGAGGTTCCTTATGTTGCCCCAGATGACCATATTGTTGAGCCAGATGTGGAGGAGGAGGAGGAGGAGGAGGATGTGGCTGAGGTTGAGGAGATAGCTGAACCTGAAGGTGGATTTTCACTGCGTGATGTCATGAAGGGCATAAATGCAATGACAAAGAAGATAGGAAAGATGGCGCTGGCACATAAAAAATGGAGAAAGAAAGGGAATGAAAGGTTTAGACACATACAGGGAAGGTTTAAGGGTGTGGAAGACAGGCTTGCTCGTCTGGAGCTTGCAAGAGGTGGTCAGGTAGCTGAGGCAGCAAGGGATGGGGGTCATGTGTCAGATGAGGACGACTCGGAGACGGACACAGACGGGGATGACGAGTAGATTTAGGGTGTACATCATGTTATTGTGTTTTGTTCATGTATTTCCTTTAAGTCGTTGATGTAATGTAACTTTTTTTAATGAATGCAGAATTGTTATTTTTTTTGGATCTATGTTATGTTGTGTAATGAATTTAATTCCATTTCAATATTGTATAACTTATGAATACCTTTTTAGCAATTTGATCATCACGGCACAAAACAATATTGAACAGGTCACATTCGTCCATAACACATCACAGCAAATCAGTACATGTGTTCAAAAAGGCTACATCTTGTATTGTTAACCGTAAACAAACGTTATGACAACATACGACTTGGTTTTAGGAATTTAATGTCCACATGGGTTTTTTGACTCGGAAATTATGCTCCCTAAGTCACACTCCCTTAGTGGATCAGTGTAGAGTGGAAACCTAGGGCAAAAAACATGTGTAATTCGGATTTGGGGTCCTAAACCAACAATTTAGTCGATTAACCTGTACGGGTTTAGTCGACTAACCTAGTCGATTAAACCAGTACAGGTTAATCGACTAAATTGTTGGTTTAGGACCCCAAATCCGAATTACACATGTTTTTTGCCCTAGGTTTCCACTCTACACTGATCCACTAAGGGAGTGTGACTTAGGGAGCATAATTTCCGAGTCAAAAAACTAAGATGAGTCAAATACAAATATCATTACATCAAATACAAACATAGCACCGTCATTACATTCAAATACAAACATCATGAGATCAAATACAAACATAGCACCGTCATTACATTCAAATACAAACATCATGAC